CCCATCTTATGCAGGGGAAAAGCTCGGTGTACACGGGCCAAGTGACCTGCCCAAGGTCACACAGCTAGGAGAGGCGGAGCGGTCACCCTCACCCACGCCACTCTCCCCAGCAGGGCAGGCACTTGGGACGATGGGCCCTGGGGGTGGGACTCCCATCGCTACCCCACAGGGGTGGCCCCGGGGAGGTGTTCCCTGGCCTCCACACCAGGCCCCCCGCCCCCCCCCGCCCCGAGAAGCCCAGGCATTCTGGAGAAAGCCCTGGGAAGCCCGAGGGAGGGTGGCTGGTGGGGAGGGAGGGGACGGGGCGGGAGGAGCCGGTAGTGACTCAGCAGAGCAGGATAAGGATCTTCCAGCCCAGGGAGAGGTAACCCCACTCCTCTGCCAGGGGAGACGGAGTCACGGAGCCCCGGGCATGGGTTGGCCAGGGCAATGGAACATCCTGGGAGAGTGAGAGTGGCGGCAGGGAAGGCTTCTGGCAGGCGAGGGAGGAGCTGGGACCCGGGGGTGCCCCTTCTGCCCCTGCCCATCTCACGTGCCCGCCACCCAGTCCCCCAGATGTCCGTACAGACGGGAGGGGGCTAGAGCCCAGGTAGGGTGGGGAGCGGCCGGCAGCAGAGCCCAGCTCCTCTCAACGTCCAGGGGAGGCAGGTGGGGGCGGTGTCCTCCGGGAGGCCTGAGCCGGTCCAGGTGTGGGTGAGGGACACAGGGCAGGGTAGGGCCTGGCTGAGGCAGGAGGAGGCCCGGGGGCTTCCGCTGATGTCATGGCCAGCTCAGGGTGAGGCAGGGCCCTCAGGGCTCCTGCCCACTGGAGGGAGAGGGAAAGCGCACACCCCGCTGCCTTCCCCCACCCCCGCCCCCCACCCTCGGCGGCCCCCAGGCCTGCACATGCACACGGGAGTGTTTGCACATGGTGGTGGCGGGGAGGTGCTCTTCCCAGGACAGATGCGGAGGGGAGGGCGGCCTTGTCTGCTCTGGCAGCCCGGGCAGGGCCTCCGAGACCACCGGCCCCCCGCCCCGCCCCTCTGCAGCCCTCAGGACGCACAGGGCACCCTGTGGTCCTGGCTCTGCAGGCAGGTGGTCCTCTAACTCCCAGCTTCATCTCGATGCTCCTGGAACCTACAGTTCCTGCAGAGGGAAGGGGCCAAAGCTCTCCTGGGGGGTGCCTCGCGCTGACCCAGGAGGGCGATGTGGGGTGACAGCCCAGCGTCACTGGTGGGGGTGTCGGTCGGGAACGCCCAGGTCTCTGCTTCAGGCAAAACACCTCAACGTCCCGAAGAGACCAGGCAGGGCCCGGTTAGAGACCAACCGGGCAGCCGGGCGCCGGGCAAGGCCCCCTGTTTCTGGAGCCGCTCTGGGCACCTGGCCTCCTGTCCTTCCCAGAGTCCCCCTGCCCCGGAGCCCCTCCCGGGCCCGCACCTGCGGGTGTAGCAACAGGGCATGGCGCTGAGGCAGACAGTCCTGGGCTCCGGTCCTGGTTCTCCTACCCGTGTGACCTTGGGCAGGTGACTTCTTCACCTTGCCAAGCCTTGGGGTCCTCCTACCTATGTGAAAGAATGAGGTGAAACTGTCCACTTAGAGCCTTAGTCGGAAGCCCGAAGCAGGAGCGCGTCAGCAGGCGGCCGGGCACGGCGGCGGCACCGGCAGAGTCGCCCGGGCAGGGCCCGGCTCTCCCGCCTGCACTCGGGGCAGCCTCCCCCCCACCTCCCCGACCCCACAGCCCCGGAGGGCTCCCCTCTGTGTCCCTGGCACCGGGCATGGAGCGGGGCCTCGGGGAACGTCTGGTGAACAGATGAATACATGCGTGGCTACCTGTGCTCACCTCTTCAGGCTTCTCCCCACCACACGGCTGCCCACCCACGGGAAGGGGACAGACCAGAAGCCTCCCCGGTTCAGGGGTCCAAGACACCCAGGGTCCAGGGCCCGTCCAGGGCCAGTTCTTCGGCTGCCTGGGACTCGGTGTCATTGGGGCATCTAGAGAGCCATCCTTAGGGGGCACCAGTTATGGGGGGCAACGGGAGGGAGGGGTGGGAACCTAGCGTGTCCCTGAGCCACCCAACCACATTTCTAGCCTGAAGCTCTACCTGCCCCCATCCTCCAACCTCAGATGATTGAATGAAATTCTTGAAGGCAGGAGTGGGTGTTCCTCCTTTCTCCATCCCTCACAGGACCCAGCACCCAGCACCCAGCACCCAGCAGGGGCTCAGGAAAGGCCTGAAGGACACACCAAGGATCTGGGGCTGGGCTGGGGGGCGTCTCCTCTAGCCTCTGCCCTGCCCCACCAGCAGTCCCAGATTGTTCCTGCAGGAAGGGCTGCAGGGGAGCAGGAACCGTCCCGAGGTCCCCAGCTGGACACGAGAGGGCAGCCATCTGCGCCCTGCCACCCACGGAAACCCTGTAGGTGTCCCCCAGTCTGCCTCTCCTTCCTCCCTTCCCCCCGCCCCCATCCCAGCAGCCCACTCCCACTGGAGATCTGGCAGAATACAGGCACAGTCTTTACTCCAGCCCCCACCCCAGCCCAACTGGCAGCTCCTAGCCTGCTGCCTTTGCCCAGACATGGCAGAGGGGCACAGGCAGCTTGGAGATGGAGTTGATTTTCCCTTTGGCAGGAGGGGAGAGGGGGAAGGGAGAAGGCCCCTCACCTCCCCGTGAGGGGAGAGGGCAGGACACAAGTCCAGACAAGAGGCAGGACAAAACACAACTTCCCCAGCTTGTGGGGTCACGGCATCAAGCCCAGGGCGGTCTGTAAAGCCAGCTGCCCCTGCACCCACCTGGCCTGGTCCTCATTTTAGAGTTGCAGCCCTCGGTCCCTGCAGACCTGCAAACCACTGCTTTCTAGACTCTTGAGGTAAACGCTCGGGCGGGGAGGGGGGGCAACGTGGTAAGCTTCCCCCAACTGCAGAGTCTGCTCCTCTTCCTCCCCGGGCTCCTGCCTCCCCCGCTCCTTCCCACTCCCACCCATTTATTTGCCTTTGTGTCTCCTCTTTCCTGCCCTGTCCCTTCTCCCCTCTTCTTCCCTCAGCCTCCACCCTCCTCCTTCAGCTCCCCTCTCCCCCTCTCTCTCCTGGCCCCCTCCTCCTCTCCCACGGTGGGGCTGCTTTCTCCCTGACTCAGCAAGGTGCTTTATAAGGTGCTGAGGGGCTCAGCCAAATCCAAACCACATTGTCTGTGCAGACACTCTCCACGAGGAGCAGGCTGCAAACCGGGGGGAGAGACTTGAGCGGCTCCCTCTCCCCTCCCCTCCCCTTCGAGGCTCCCCACCCTGACAGGGCGGCTGCTAGGGGACCTCCCGGCCGACCTCAGTGCTGGTCACCCACTGGGCATCTGCCTTCTTGACCTTGGCATGGGTATCAAAGATTGTTGGGCTCACCGGCCAAGAATGTCATTGAAACTCCAGCGTTCAGCCTGCGGGGGGGCGGGGGCAGTGAGGGGGAGAGGGAGGCCTTTTCCGAAAAGGCCCCTCCACGGCAGGTTCCATCAGAGCTGCTGCTTGTGTCCCTGAGCGTCCCCTGCCCCCAACCTCAGGCCAGCGCCCCTTCCCCAGTTCTTTTTCTTGTTTAGGGAACAAAAAAAAAAAAAAAGAAGAGGGGAAAAAACAACAAAGTCTGTCCCACTCCAGTGAGGTAATTGAAAACAAACTTCTCCCCCACCCCCCCATCCCCCCCCACCCCGGTTCTCAAAGTGCAGCGCAGGGAAGGGCTGTCCTGGGAGCCGGGCTGCCTGCTCTGACCTGCAGCCTGGAGGGGCTGGGGCCGGGCTGGTGGGCGTCTGCCTTCCTCTGGGGGCACCAGGGCAGCAAGGGGTGCAGGGGCTCCAATGCTGTCCCAGAGAGAGGAGTCACCTTCCAGGTCCGGCCCACCATCGCCTCTGTCCCCTGACATAACAAATAAACAACAACAAAAGCAGCTCATTACCAAATGATTTTATTGCTGGTCTGCTTCTAGAGCTCTGGGCAGTGGAGATCGAATAACGGAATGACCCCAGGTGGAAGCTGTTTCCCTGCACACTTCCTAACAGCCCTCTGCAGCCGCAGGAAGACCCTCCAGGGAGGGTCTAGGCTCCTGGGTCCCCTGCGTATCCCACCTCAGCGAGTCCCAACACAGGCCCGAGGGAAGGAAGGGGAGGGAGGTCACGCCACAGGCAGAGCACCCCTACCCTGGCACCGGGGAAAGCCAACAACCTGAACCCTACAGGCGGGAGGAAGCCAAATGTCTTTATGGGGAAGCATTTCACAAACGGGGTCTCTCCATCGCCTTGAACTGGAGCATTCTTGATGAGTCACCCATGAAGTCCTGGTGTCGAAACTGGTCCGGGTGCCTCGTGCTGATTAATGAATTACAAACCCCCACCCATGTGCACTCTCCTGGCCACTGGGAAGAGGAGTGAAGAACCTCGTGAACCTGAGGGACAAACCCTCAGCCAAGTGCCCTCTGCTTTCCCCGGGGCCAGGCGGTGGGCCTGTGGTGCCCTCGTCCTCCCCCGCTGGGGGCATTGTGAACCGGTTAGTCACCTGCCCCGGCCAGCGCCTCACTCAGCCCCGGCTTTTGGAAATGGGACAGGCCGCGGGACAATAGGCAAGGGGGGCGGTCAGCCCAGACAAAGGGCAGCAGGAAAAACACCATCACTCGCTTGGAGGCCAGCTCGCTGGCATTTGGGAGAATGTGTCATTGCATTTACTGGGTGTGTGTGTGTGTGTGTGTGTGTGTGTGTGTGTGTGGCGTGGGGGGTCAGAGATGAGAAGGCAGAGGTAGGGTGGGAGCGGGACCCACGCGGGGCAGGGAGCAGCACCCTAGGCCGACACCGAGGGCGAGGAAAAGGAGCGGGCCGCTCCCTCCCGGAGCTCTCGGAGTTTGCAGACGGACCGATGCCCTCCCCACCTCCTCCCCCAGGAGGCCCAGGGTGGTACCACCGCAGCCTCGCCTCACCTCACCCCCCCTCGGTGTAGTGGGAGGGAAAGGAGCCCCAGAAGCCCTCCCTTCCCTCCTCCCCCCACCCCAGGGAGGGCCGCTACAATTTGTGGTTACAGCTTTACACGTCAGAAAAAAAAAAAAAGTTTGCAGAATGTCCCACACTGAAAAAAAAAAAAAAATCCGAAACCGAGCGAAAAAAACCTGCGAGTGGGCCTGGCGGATGGGATTATTAAAGCTTCGCCGGAGCCGCGGCTCGCCCTCCCACTCCGCCAGCCTCCGGGAGAGCAGCCTCGCCCGGCCGGCCCGGCCCCCGGCCCCATGGACCTCCGAGCAGGTAGGAGCCGGGCGTCCGAGGCCCCGGCCCCCGCCCAGGAGCCTCGAGATCCGGTTCCGTCCTTCCCCCGGGAGCCCGGAGCTGAGGAGCCCGGAGCTGCACCGCCAGCAAGGCTCGGGCCGGGGGAGGTACGGCTGGGCGCCCTCGAGAGCGGCCCGGCGGGGACCGCGTTCCTGGAGTCCGCTCGGCGGGGCCAGGAGGTCGCAGGGAGCGCGGCGGGTAGTCCCGGCGACCCGCAGACCTGGGGAGCCGGCCACCTGGAGCCCCAGCGAGGCGGGGTCCCGCGGATCCCGACGGACAGATCCCCGCGCACAAGTCGAGGAGAGCGAGTCCGAGGCGGGAGCGGGGCTGCGGGAGGAAGACGCGGAGCGCGGGGAGGTGGGGGCCGGGAGAGGAAGAGGGGGGCGGGAGGAAGGGAGGGAGGCAGAGGGGAGCCCGGGGCCGGGCCAGCGGGAGGCGAGGGGAGGCCGACACCTCGGGCCGCGCCGCTCTCCCTCCCCGGCCCGGCGGGAGGAGAGGGCGGGAAGCAGGGCGGGCGAGAGGGGAGAGGAGGCGGAGGGCAGAGCGGAGCCTGGCTGGGCCGGGCCGGGCCGCGGGCGGGACTCGCGGCTTCCCGGCTGCGCCCGCGCGGCCGGAGCCCACCATGCTGCCCGCGGCCGGGGAGCCGGCGGCAGGTAGGGGCCGGGCGGCGGGGCGGGCGGCGGCCACTGGCCCTCCGCTCGGCCCGCGGGGGCCTGGGAGTGATTAGTGCGGGGGGGTGGGGGCTGGGGGGCGCGGGCGCCGCCCGGCCTGACCGGGCGGGGAAAAGTCCGTCACCCACCGGGGAGCGGCGGCACCGGCCGCTGGGCGCTGGCGGCCCGCGCGAGGGCGGGCGACTCGGCGGGGAGTTGATGCGCGGGAAGGGGCAGCGGCCCGGCAGAGCCCGGCGCCCCGGACCCCGCCCCCGCCCCCGCCGACGGGAAGGGAGCGACCGGGCGGGAGCGGGCCGGGGGCGGGGCCGGGGGCGCCGGGGCCACACAAGGGGAAGGCGCCGCCGCCGCCGCCGCCGCAGGGAGGGGGCCGGGAGCGAGAGGTCACCGCCGAGTGGGGAGGGCCAGCAAGCGGCCGCCGCCGCCCAGTTCCCGGGCTGAGCCCCTCGAGGGAAACCCCACGTCCCCGAGCCTCTCAGAGCCCCCCAATCTCTGCTCTCCCCGTCTTCCTTCCCAGCAGCTGCACAAGGCGCTCCAGGAGCCCTCCCCAGGGACCCCCGACCCCAGAGGACCCCGTCCCAGTGTCCGTGAGCCCGGCCTGGCCCTCCCCCTTAGGGCAGGGCAGGAGGGGGCTGCCGGGGGCAGAGAGGAGGCTGGCGGTCGCCTCGGCAGGAGCCCCGCGAGCCTCGGAGAGGGGCGGTGGGTGGGGGCACTGGCCACGCCGCCCTGTCAGGCGCGCTCCGGACCGGACCCAGGCGGACGTCTCCGAGCTTTCGGTGAACCCACAGGCTCCTCCTGGGCTCCCAAGCACACCCCGCCCCCACCCCGCGGGGCACGGGGCGCGCTCCCCTGACCCACCAGGCCTCCCACCACTGGCTCACACACGCTCACTGCCCCGGAGCCGCGCACTCCACCAAGCCGAAACGGGCACCAGGCAGGGATGGCAGCGACTGTCACCTAGCAGCCCCAGAAGTCTCTCCTGCCGACTGGTGTCATGGCTCCCTCTCCCGCCCCGCAGAGCCGGCACTGCTGCCCCAGCCGCCCTTGTGCACAGCACCCTGCCACACCAGCTGGTCCGCTGGTGACACTTCACATTCCTCCCCATAATCCCACCTGCTCGTTCACACCCGGCTCCTGCGGTCCTTCCGAGCCCCTCCCTCCCTTTTGGATAACAACACCCTTTGAAATTCACGCTCACACTTACCCCATTGTTTCCCCACTTCTCCCCCTGCCTTGCTTTCTGCCGGTGGCCCAGCTTCCCCAGCTCCAGCTCTCCCCGAGCACCCCCAGGGCCCTCGTGCGGCACCGTCCAGAACCCTCTCGCTCCAATGAAAGCCCGACTCAGGCGTCCACACTGACTTCACAGGACGAGGCAGCTGGCCTGCCTGGCTGCTTCTTCCCCAGGCCTCGGTCTCCCCTGTCATTCGGGTGGAAGAGAAGGGCGGGGAGGGCCTGTTGAGGGCAGGGACAGAGCCCGTGTAGTTCTGCTGAGGAACTTCAGCGTCCCCCCTCATGCAAGCCCCGTCACCTGATGGCTGGGTGGCAAAGCAAGGTCTCCTGGCATCTGGGGCCCACGCGCACCCACTCGCTAAGCCACCTCTCAGCAGCCCCGGGGCTAGGGGACCGAGGAGGGGACGGGGGCCAGGCAGCCCAGAGGACAAGGCAAGTCCTGCTGTTTCTGCGGGCAGGTGGGGAAGCTCCCCCAAAGCCCTGCCTTACAGCCTCATTGCCTGGGTCTCACATCACGGCGGACGGTAGACACCGGCCCCCTGCGCGGCTTCACTTCCCCGATTCCCCTCAACAACCCCCTCCAACGGCACCAGAGCGCGGTCCTGGTCTGGCCTGAGGGCAGAACGTTTCCTTCTGGCTCCCACACTTCGCCCAGCACTTCTGGAGCTTGTTGGTGCCTCCCTGGCTCCTTCGCTCTCAGCTGACAGCGCTTAGCCACCAGTCCCAGGTGCAGTCTCCCGTCTGACTTGTCCTACCCACGCTGACCTTCCCGCCACATGTGTGCCGCTGAGCCCCCCTCCCTCCCTGAATGAGGTCAGCCTGGGGGATAGAGGCTAGGGACTGAGGGGCAGCTGGCTGAAGGTATCCACACACGGTGTGTCTGCCTGCCTGTGCAGCGTGTCAGGGTGCCCATGCACTTGTGTGGGCTGAGTGTGTGTGCATGTGCACACACGTGCGTGCGGGAGTATTCACTAGAGGGGCCCTGGGAACCAGGGCCCAGGGATCTGGATGGAATTAGGGTCTGGCCCAGGCGGGGGGCCAGGATGGGGGGTGAGGGGGCTGTAGCAGGAAACGTGAGCTGCACTCATTAGCTCCTCACGTGCTCAGCCGGATTTATAAACACAGGGGAAGACGGGATGTAAACAATCAGTGGGCAGCAGCCAGAGGCAGAGCTGGGGCGGGGGCTGGGTGGGAGCCAGGACTGGAGAGGGGGCCCAGGACACGGCCCGCAGTGGCCAGGTCCACCTGCACACCCTGAGCCTGGAGAGGAGAGGGGTGGACGAGGGCTCCAGGATGCCCACTGCACTCTCCTGGGGACACCGGCAGGCTGCTCACTGTTACAGCTAAGCCACAGGTGCTCTCTGCCAGGGATGCTTTCCGTTTTGCTGCCTGAGATATGGGAACATTTCACCCAGAGTGGAAGCTGCCACAACCGAGGAGAGAGCCCTGTCCAGTCCCCTTCCTCCTCTCCTAGCCTCTTCTCCCTCTGGATTTCTGAGACTCCTTCCCTCTCTCTGGTTCTCTCCACGGGTCGGTCAGTTGGATCCTTCTGCTCTCTCCCCTGCCCCCCCACCCCCAGCCTGCAGTGACAGTTACCTCAGAACTGAAATATTCCTGGAAACACCGGCCTCGTCTGGTTAATTTCATGAGCCGTTTTTCTGCCCAGATGACTTAGCTCTTGTTTATCCAAAAGCTTCTCCCCCTCTTCCCCTGCTGTCCCTGTGTGGGGAGCCAGTGCTCCCCAGGGATGTCCCACAGGGCCCAGGAGGGGAGGGAGAAAACAGGGCCGCAGTGGGGCTCCTGACTGCCCCCTCCCTGGTCGTGGGACACGCAGAGCCCTGTCCCAGGACTCCTGTCTAGCAGGGCTGCCCCAAGCAGGGTGGGGTAAGGGGGCAAGCCCAGCTCCGCGGTTCCCGCTTCAGCCAGGACCCTTGGCATCGCCACTAACTGCCAGCCAGGCCAGACTCCAGCCTGAACTGACCACTTGCCTGTGGTGCCACTACCCACCTCAGCAGGTCTCCAGCCTCCAGAACTGACCGGCCCGCCCCCAAGTAGAAACTTGGGGGTGACTGTCAGATACGCGGGCTAAGGGTAGCCCACGGCTTCGTGCAGAGGAGAAGGGCCTGGAGTTGTCTTGGGATGTGAAGGACAGGAGCTAGAAAGGAACTCAGGGAGTCAGCAAGAGCTCAGATGGAAAGAACAAGGAAAGGAATGTCCAGAAGGGAAGGTGTAGGCTGCACCTGGGGAAGAGGAAAAGGGGAGACTGTCTCCCCAGGGGGCAGCCATGTGCCTGACGTTACCCTCTGTGCTAAAACACGCACGCGTGTGGGTGCATGCGCACACTCCTCTCAGACCACGAGCCTGTCGCCCAAGGGGGCAGGGTTCCCGAGACCAGCAGAACCCCTACTCCCATGCTCCGCCAGGAAAGCCAGCCAGTGGGGCATCTGGAAGAGTCGAGACCGACCACTTCAGAAGTCCCCAGCTGAGCCCGACACTCTGTAAGAGACATTCTGTGCAGCTTGAATCCCGAACCCCTCCAAGTTTTACCCTCTCTGAAACCCCGATCCAGCATTATGACTGACCGTGTACGTAACCTAGTCTTAACTCCGAACCTATCTTAACTCTAAGTACAGTTAAACTGCCCAACCCATATCCAAATTACTTCTATCAAAACAACATATGTCATTGCAGAAAACCTGAAAGTATAAAATATAAATTAGAGGCCCTGGCCCAGGAGCTCAGTGGGTTAGAGCATTGCCTGATAAGCCAAGGTTGTGGGTTTGATCCCAGGTCAGGGCACGTGCAAGAATCAACCAATGAATGTATAAATAGGTGGAACAACAAACTGATCTCTCTTTCTCTCTCTCTCGTCAATAAATTTAAAAAATGAAATATAACTTAAGTTAGAAGAAAAAAACCACTCATGATCTCACACCTATCCAAGCTCAAAATCCAAACCAGCCTACTCATAAGGCATGGCATGCACCACCCCATCTGAAATCCGAATCAACACATTCGCAAACCTTCGTCCCAGCCAGCCCTCTGTCTGCCCAAACCTAACCACATCCCCCAGCTGGACCCAAACCTCAACCACGCTCACTCAGGCAAATCCCAAGAAATTAACCTGGAACTTTAAAAGTAACCCAGTCCTTAAAGCTAACCTATGCCCAACGCCAGTCACAGCCTTACCCCATCCTAATTCTAATGACCTTTACCCAGTCCCAATGCCCACTGAATCCTGGCCAAGTGCTCTTGACCTTGGATATCACCTAAAAGCTGGGAAAACCCTGTTTCCCAACTGCCTGTGTCTGTTCTCACGGCACTGACCCCTGGCCTCCGGCATCGCGGGATGCCCCAACTCTGCAGCACCGTCAGCTGAGAAGCCCAGTTCACTGAATACATCATTCTCTCTCCTTCCTCCCCTGTCTCTCCCTTCTTCCTTCCATCTCTCCCTCCCTCCCTCTCTCTCTCCCCCGCAGGCTGACTGAAAGCCTCTTTCAGCTCAAACTTTCCCTAAAGCCCCAGGTAAGAATGGGGCAAACTCCCACACTGCAGCCGGTGTCTGAGAGCGAACGTTCTCGCCCATCCTACCCTTCCACACCAGGGATGATACCCCAGAATGTTCCCACGCCGCTGACCGCGTGAGCCAGCCCTGTGTCTGTCCTTCAGCCTCAGCCCGGTGGTCTGACCCTCTACCTTGCCTCCCATCGCTTGACTAGGACTCGTTTGCTTGTTCTCAGGAGGTAGCCTCTCTGCCGCATCCCTCCCAGGGCTGACTGCTCGCTCGCAGCTGGCAGCTCTGACATGTGCTGTTTCCCGCCCCTTGGCTCCCCCAAGCTGCAGTGGGACGCTGGGAGAGGAGGCTGAGGTACACCTGGAACTCGGGAATGCTGATGATCTGTGTTCCGAGGCCTGGCCCTCCTTTTACACACACCTACGTGCTGGCACACATACAGCAAGTATTAGCTGACCCACAAGTATACTCTGCAGTATCTGCTGGCACAACACGTATAACATACATGCCTCCACACACACGCACTTTCTCAGGCCAGGAATGCTCCTCTCCTCCATCGCCCCTGCCTCCCATCTGGCGTCCCACCCTCACCCCTCCCTCCCACCCCAAGGTGAGGACAGACACCTGAGGGGCTGCCAGCTGCTTCCTCTAAAAGGCCAGACCCGCCCTCATGCTTCTTGCCCGTCCTGTCCACAGGGGACTCGTGGGGGATAATAGCTTGCCTGTGCACCGTGCTCTGGCACCTCCCTGCAGTGCCAGCCCTCAATCGCACAGGGGACCCAGGGCCTGGTCCCTCCATCCAGAAAACCTATGACCTCACCCGATACCTGGAGCACCAACTCCGCACCTTGGCTGGGACCTACGTGAGTATCTAGGGCAACCTAGGGGTCTAGGAATTGGGTGATGAATGAGAGGAGGAGTTGGGGGAAGAGAGTGGCAGAGGGGTCCTGATGAATGTAGGGTGATGAGGAAGGGACCTTTGGCTCTAAACAGTCTCTGTGTCTGGCCTGTCTCTTGCCCTTCCCTCTAGGGTACCCCCTCCTCCCCACCCCAGGCCCCAGGACTAGGCATGTGGGCAGGCCTCGCACCCGCCTTGGCCCATTGCCCCACTGGCTGACTGCCCAGCCGCCCGCCTCCCCCTGGGGGCCGGGGAAGTCTCCTCTGTTTACACCGTGTTGTGGTGTCTCTTGCACGGGTGGGGCTGGGTGGGGATGGAGGGGCCCCACCTCCCATGCCTGTGTTCCAGCTCGCCTCTGCCCCAGACCTGGGGCCCTGCTGCTCTGGACCCGTGGGCCTCCCTTCTGTCTGCCTCTCCCGTCCTGACTGGGCCTCCTGGGGGGGCTTGAGGAGAGGGCGCTGCAGGGAACCCAGGCCAGTAGTGGCAGGGGCTCAGGGTGTGCACTGAAGCTCTGCCGTGAGAATCTGGGGGCAGTCCAGAGGTGGTCAGAGCACCCAGGAGAGGAGGAAGGAGGGTCAGAGTTAGCAAGGACCATGGGGAACGGGCCCCCTCTTCCCGTGTTCCTCTTCCACATCCCAGACCCTACTCTGAAGCCAGGGAAAGAAAGGGGAGGAGGGTGGCGGGGGAGCTGGCTCCAGCCCCAGGATACACCGAGGAAATTAGTTTGTCTCTGTGCTTGTCAGCGTGTGAACCTCCCCCTGGGCCCTTGCCTATCCCAGGCCTCGCCCCTCTCTTCTCCCTTCCTCTCCCCGCTGCTGCACCGTCTCCCTCGGCCCTTTCCCTGGGCCCCAGGCTTCTCCCCGGGGGCTGGCAGGGCTTCGTCCTCTCCCCCAGACTGACTTCCATACCCTTCCTCCAGCCCGAATCTTGAGACTGCCTCAGTTTCTTCTCACTGCAGCCCTGCTCCTACGGGCCGAGCCCTTCCTTGGGGGTTAGTGTGTACCTTCTGTCCACAGCCCTTCAGCTGCCGGGACTGGGCCTGTCAAGAGGCCGATGGAACTCCGATGCCCACGGGCCCCTCTGCCTTTTGACCTGCTTTTCCTGTCCAGAAACCCTTTGCTTGACTCCCGCTACCCCCTCCGGTTCCCGACCCTTTTTCTCTCCTGGCTTCCCCTGCCAAATTTCTCGAAGGAGTGGTCTACACCCTCTGCCTCCACTTCCTCTCCACCCACTCACTCTTTAACCCCCTGCAATCTGGCTTCCAGGCCACTGAAACGGCTCTCTCCAAGGTTGTCAGGCACCTCCTTCTCGCCAAAGCCAACAGCACTTTCTGAGGCTCACGCTCCCCGCTCTCTGTTTTACAGCCGCGCTGTCGAGCACTGCTGCCTTCTCGAACTCCTCCTCTTGGCTCTGCATTCTCCTGGTCACCTTCTGCCCTGCAGCCCGGCCTCCTGGGTCCCCATGGCTCCTCTTCCTCTTCTGCCCTGCCTCTCTGGTGGGGGGGTGCTCTCTGGAGGCTTGCACACCCAGCCAGTCGGTGAGCTCTCCCTGAGTCTCTGCTGCCCAGCTTTTCCCATTCCACACCCTCCACAGGAGAGCTTGTCGCCTCCATTGTTTCAACAGTCACCTCCACGCAAATGCCGTTCATGGAGAAACTTAGGGTTGGCCTGTGAACAGAGGGGCCCGGTGTAGAGACGGGGCCAGGGTCAGGGGACACAGGAAGTAGAACTCAGGGGACAGGCATCTCCTGGTGGCGGCCAGCTGGCTGCTTCGCCCTCCTCCTTCCCCATCGCCCTCTCCTTTCCACAGCTGAACTACCTGGGCCCCCCTTTCAACGAGCCCGACTTCAACCCACCTCGGCTGGGGGCAGAGACTCTGCCCAGGGCCACTGTCAACTTGGAAGTGTGGCGGAGCCTCAATGACAAACTGCGGCTGACCCAGAACTACGAGGCCTACAGCCACCTCCTGTGCCACTTGCGCGGCCTCAACCGTCAGGCCGCCGCCGCCGAGCTGCGCCGCAGCCTGGCCCACTTCTGCACCAGCCTCCAGGGCCTGCTGGGCAGCATCGCGGGTGTCATGGCGGCCCTGGGCTACCCGCTACCCCAGCCTCTGCCTGGGGCTGAGCCCGCCTGGGCCCCTGGCCCTGCCCACAGTGACTTCCTCCAGAAGATGGATGATTTCTGGCTGCTGAAGGAGCTGCAGACCTGGCTGTGGCGCTCAGCCAAGGACTTCAACCGGCTCAAGAAGAAGATGCAGCCTCCGGCAGCTGCGGTCACCCTGCGCCTGGAGGCCCATGGCTTCTGATCTTTGACCTTGACCACCTCCTCTTCCCTTCCCCTCCAACCCTGCTCCCGCTCTGGGAGGGAGAAACCTGTGTGCCAACGCCTGTTGAGCCAGGAGACAGAGGCTGTAAGCCTCCGGCCCTTCCCGGACTTGGGGGAGGGTGTGGTGCAATAAGGACCATCCCCTCCCCACTTCCCAAAGTTCCGCAGGTCTGGGGAAGAGGTGCAATAGGCCCGTCCCATCCCACTTCTACAGGAAGTAATGCTCAAGGGAGCCCGAGGGGGTCCGGGTCGCTGCGAAGGCTCTCCCAGACTCCTGCTTCCCGCCCACCGCCTGCCAGGGCCCAGGAGCCCCTCCAGTGGCACTCCCAGAAGGCATGCCTGCAGGGCAGGGAGGGGCCGCCACAGCACGTGCCTTGCGGGCGAAGCCCGTTGCTGCCCCACTCTCCTCAGATGGGTGTTGCTCCCCTACCCCCAGTGAACTCCACACACTCAATTCGGGAAACGAACACAGTGGCGAGTGTGAACAGGAAGAGACGGAATTCGGGATGGGAGAGGTGGGGTCTGCAACAGAGGTAATGCCGAGCGCAGAGGGGCAGGGGCAGGCTGAACCCAGGGGTCACCAAGGCACAGGGTGGCACCCGAAGGGCCTTGTCTGGGGTTTTCTTGCCAGCGTCGAGGTGCCTCCTCTCCACCCCCTTTTCCAGGGTATCTGTGGGTTGCCCAGCCTGGGGAGGGCAATCATAGCCACAGCCACAGGATTTCCTGAAAGTTTACATTGCAGTAGCATTTTGGGGGTACGGGGGCGTCTCCCCCAGGCCCTGCACCCCCCAGCCCCAACCACTCATGACTCTGTTTGTTGTATTAATATTTATTTATTTGGAGATGTTATTTATTAGATTATATTTATTGCAGAATTTCTATTCTTGTATTAACAAATAAAATGCTTGCCCCGGAAGCATCTCTTTGCTTGGCTCTGCTCCTCCTCCTGGCCCCCGTGCCTGCTGGGAGGGCTTGGGGATCCAAAGGCTAGCTCAGGAGACGCCCAGGGCTTGGGGAAGGGGCTCTCCCCACTTTGCCGGGGAGACGTGGGCACAGCAGACTTCAGCCCGGCTCTCTCCATCAGTGCCAAGGCCCTCGCGTCCTCCCAAACACCGTCTTGTCTGTCGCTGATCTCCCGTCTTCCAGCCTCGGCTCGGTCGGCCCCACCTCCCTGGAGCACGTCCCTGTTCTCCTGGGTCCGTCCCTCTGCAGAGTGCCGCATCTGTCCCCCTGGTGCTCTCTCCCGGCGGCCAGCCCACACTCTCAGCCCTCAGTTTCCCCAGAGCCTGCCCCCGGGGCTGCCTTCGGGCCCCTCCTCAGCAGCGCCCTCACCTTCTCCACGCCCCTCCTCTCCTAGGGAAGGCAACAGACCACGGCCGTGGTGTGATTCTCGCCTGTGTCCTCCGACGCAGGACCACAGATCCGCGGGAAGGACAGAGACTCCTACTGGAGCTCAAGTGATCGGACGGGTGCTGTACAAGGGGTGGCCTGGACTCACGTTCCAGTTTCATGCTCTATGAGCGGCATGACCTCGGGCAAACTGTTTAAAGCTCTCCATTCTACAGTTTCTCCTCCTGTAAAGCGGGCATTTTAAGTACCCTTATAAGATGTTGGGAAGGACGAGACAGAATAAAGTTAAGATGCTTGGCTGCAGCAGCAGCGATGAGTAAACGCTACTTGGGGCATATGGCAGGTCATGACACCCTAGTGAAGAGCCGCTGGGTCACCCAATGGGCTAGTGCTGCCAGGTAATACGTGGATATTGTACAAGGGCCTCCTGGAGGCCGCGCTCTAAGCAAAGGGATTAACAAGTGTCGGTGATGTCAGTCGGTTGACAAATATTTTAAAGACATTACCTGCCCATTACTAGGCTAACCGGTGCAGAAAAGATAAAAAGAAGTCCGTATCTAACTTGGCCCCGGCCCTTACGGGAGAGCCGGTGACCTACCCGGGAAGAGAAGCCCAGCTTACCTGAAACGGTAACAAAAGCACACGTGTGCGGCGTGCACTGGGAGGTCCCCACGCGAGCCACTGGAAAAGGGAGAGGCCGGAATGTAGGTGCAGGAGCTATTGCACTTGCTTGTGGGCGGGGCGAGCCAGGCTCTGCTGAGTGTCCCTGAGTCACCTGGCCCAAGTTGGAGGGAACATGCCCACCCTGCGGGGTCCGGACTCTTCAGGCGGAGGCATCTGCCCAGGCACGGCCCTGCCTCCTGCCTAACAAGACAGAAGGAGAGGGCATCTGTGCCGTCTCCACGCAGGGGCGGGATGAGCAGCAGCCTGTTATACGTAAGCCACCAGGCGGGGGCTGTACAGAACGCAGGGCGAAGGGGGGATGTCCCCCGCTGTGAGTTTACTGGGGGCAGATCGGAGACTTTTCCTTCTGTCTATCTCAGCGCCCAGCTCAGGCTCCAGCCCAAAGATGGTGTTCAAGCAGTGCACTGAACAAAACCATCTGGAAAAGGGACTAGGAACCCCCTCTCCAGAAGTGCTAGGATCCAAAGCAGAGTTTAATTGGGTGCTCCCAGCTGGGTGCAGGTTCTGCCAGTCTGTGAGCCCTAGAGGGGGACAAGGGAGTGTCTGAGATAACTGCTGTATTTCAGTGTCCTGAACATGCTAGGTGCTTTGGCACAGATGTAGGAGGTGGGATTTGACCCCATTCTCGGAGGGTGGGCAGGACAAGGGCTAGTTGAGTGAGTCCACCTCCCTCTTAAGGAGGCAGTATCCGAAGGGCAGGCCCTGTGACTTACTCGTCTTTGCATCCCTACAGCATTTCAGCACGATGCTGGGCACAGACTAAAGTTCTCCATAATTTGATCGAAATGGATTTAAAGTGCGTCAAGACATCGGGATATGAGAAAGCAAAAGAGGGGAGCAGCTCCTCTTTGTTTAAGGGAGCAGCTGACAGGATCGGGCGCCCCAGGAGAACTGAAAGAACACGGGAAAACCCACTGGCTTGGGTAAACCAGGAAGTCACTGGTGGCCTCTGCAAGAGCCGCCGAGAGGCGAGTATCAGATTGTGAGATTCAAGGAGATGATGAGGAGGAGTGGACAGGGTGAACACATGTCCCTGGGAGTTTGGTGGCAAAGGCGATATCTGCAGAGGATAGCACAAGCATGAAAGGTTGTTTGGTTGGTTTGCTTTGTTGTTTTCAGACAGAAGAAACCTACACACATCACTGAGGCGTGGACGGTGGCAGCTGGAGGGGAATGGAGAGACTTGAGGCATGGAATCAGAGACAAGCATGGGAGAATCAAAAGGGTTTCTGGGCAGCCGCACGGGACCAGGTGACAGCAGCAAACACAACTCTGTGGTCCCTGGCCCATTTGGCATGGATTATGGCATGCCCTGCCATCCCTCGGGAGCCAGAGCTGCCTAGCAGTGGGGGGCAGAGTGGAGAAAGGGCATTTCCCAAGGCTGAGGACTGGCCAGACAGGAATGGCAGCGAATCACAGGACACAGGACTCTAGAGGGTTAGAAAGTACACAGTGGCCCTGGCTGGTGTGGCTCAGTGGATTGAGCACCGGCCTGCGAACCAAAGCGTCGCCGGTTTGATTCCCAGTCAGGGCACAGGCCTGGGTTGCGGGCCAGGTCCCCAGTTGGGAGTGTGAGAGAGGCAACCACACCCTGATGTTTCTCTCCCTCTCTTTCTCCCTCCCTTCCCCTTTCTCTAAACATTTTTTTGAAAAAGAAGGAATTATACCATGGAGTGTCCGTGAGCCTCACAGAGCACAGTGCAGGCACACAGGTAACAGAAGGAAACAGGTGTGAGTGAGCCGGAGGAGAGTGGGGTGGAGCGCTGGCGCTCACTCCAGCCGAGGATGCAGAGGGTACATCCTAGGGTCGCGCCGGGGAGGTGGACACAGAGGCGAACCCAGGCAGAGAGGACATTCCATAGTTTGAGTTCTGGAACTCTCTCCCAAAGAGCTCCCTACTGATGCTGCTGGTGGCGTGAGCCCCCTCTTTGGGTTTTAGTACTGTGGACCAAGGGGCAGGCCGCTCCTAGTGACCGACAGGTCATCAGGCTTTTCTGTGAGTGAGTTTGTCATCGCTTCTGCAATCACAGTTATCTCAGGAGAGGTGCCGCGTTTTCATCGGTTATCTTAGGTTCCACCCCTAAAGCGTGTTCTGTGGTCAGGGGCCCAGGTACCGAGAGGTCACCCTAGGAACTTGGGATACCTGAGGGCTGCAGCGTCAGTGGAGAGAGGGTGTTGTCTAGCAGCTCTTCTGTTCCCAGACAGGCTTTTTAACAAGAGTGTCAGCGAGGGAGAAAAGGCTCTCCTCTCTGTCATGTCCAGGCACCACAGAGTGTGTTAGGAATCTCGCCTTCATCGAGACGGAGACTGTCATTTGGGGGAGACAACTTGCAGGGGTCTAGGAGTGGGAACAGGAGGGGCTCTGATACAGGATGGCAAAAGGTAGTTATGCCGTTCCCGTGCCCACTTTGCAAAGACTGACCCAACATCCAGGCCTCAGGGCCCCTCGGTAAGTTAGGAGACTTATCCAGGCACCCATTTCTCCCTCTCCCTCTCCCTCTCCCTCTCTCTCACACACACACACACACACACACACACACACACACACACACTCTCACACTCACCCACAAGCCCCGGCCACCCCAAATGGGGAAGGGCCAAAGGAGGCTCTATTTCCCCTTAACCTAAAGGGCAATGGCCAGCGATCCAGGCCTGGCTGAATGCTCTGATGGGTGGCTCTCTCTCAGCTCCCCCCTTCTCCGGAGCCACACTGTCCCTGCCTTTGTCGCTTCAACTCTTGAGCTCCCTGACTCAGCCTGGTTCCCCCAGTTTCCCAGCAGTGGACAAAGCCCTTGTCAGCGGGTTGGGGGTGGGGGCAGTCAGAGTAACTGCGGGCTTTAGAACCAGAGACCCAGCCCTTTCCTCATCTCAACCTTCAGGGCCCCACAGCCTCCCTGGGTCAGAGGTCCCCTCTCCGCCCCTCCTCAACGTGCCCTCATCTCTGAGGCAGGGCCACGGGGCTGAAACCAAGACCTTCCTCCCAGCTGGACAAAGTCTGACACCTGGTGGCCGAGGCAAGGAATGGCTAGAAGGGGCCCTTGTCAAATCAGAGTTCACAGGCAGGATGATAGCCACGGTGAAGGAGAGGTGATGGGAACAGGTTTGGAGCGGGTGGTCGGGACAGGACAAAAGAGACATCCGATGGCACAAAAACCCAGACCCGGGGGAACCTTTGCCTTCCACCAGACTCCCACCCCTTAAAGCCCGCACGCAGCCCAGAGAACCTGCAATGGCCTGAGGTGGGCTGATGGGGAGGGTAGTGAGGGACTAGGAGGAGCTGCCTGAAAAAATCTGGGCCCACAGGGTGGGGAGTGGGGCCCAGGGTATGTGAGTATGTGGGGGCTTGGGGTGTGAGTCTGGCTGCCCAGAATCTCCAGCTCAGGGTGGGTGGCAGGGCCCGAGGGCCTGAGGAAGGGGTGTGCTGGGGAGAGGGAAGGAGAGCGGGCAACGCCCCACAGCCAGTTGGGCCCCAGGCAGCTGCTTCCCTCCCTCTACCTGTCCCCACCTTCCTAGCTGTAGCTGGCTCTCCCCACAAGCTCCATCATGAGCTGGGGGAAGGGAAGAGGCTCTTAGGGCGCATGTGCAGTGCTGAGGCACCCCTGTCCTGCCACATTGTCTGAGCAAAGCCAGGCTTAATCCCCCTTCCCCTTGGAGCAGTCAGGGGGTGGGCCTCAGCCCTCAGGAAGATTCTGGGCTCCTGTTCCAGTTCTTTTCTTTCCTTTTCTCTTGTGTTCTCCCAAGATTTTGGTCTTGACTACGAAGCAAGTGGCTTGAGTATTCCCAGGCCAAGGTGCAAAGGTGACTCCTGGAAGTCCATCGCTAGCCTTTGGGGGTCAGAGCTGACATAGTAACCTAGACCCTGGTCTCAGGAAGTTCCCTAAAGGACAGAGAATTAGCCCCCAGCTCAGACCTCTGTCCTGTCCCTCTAGTCTGTAGCCTGAACTGTGACAGTCCTCAGGACAACAGCTTTGGGGATAGGTCAGAGGCCACCTAAGTAGGGTAGGGGTTCCAGGAAGGAAGGTGATAGAGGGATGACAAGATCAGGGAAGCAAAAGAAAGAAAGACACATGCAAGGATGGGCAGGCCAAGGTCCAGTCTGGTTGCCAGCACACTTTAGGGGGCCAGATGCCAATTATAGGAAGGATGCCAATTGGGCAGGGATGGTTCTGCACCCCAGGGTGCCAACTCCTTCGAGCCCTGGGAGCGCAGTCCCACAGCTCTCTGACTAGGAAAGGAGGGCAATGCCGCCAGTGGAGAGTTCCCGCAGCTCCAGGCTGGAAAGCGTCTTAGGGGGCCTGCACTAGAGCTGACTGCCCTGATCCTCTTTCTTGGTACCGGGTGAAGCTGAAGGCTAGGGGAGACATCTTCCAGGCTGGGCAGGAGAGGCTAGCGGGGCCTGGGCCAGGCAGAGCCGGGGGAAGCTGGCAGGGATGGTCCAGATAGTGTCCACAGAACAGGTCAGGGTGCCAGGGGGGAGAGGGAATAGGCTCAGGCGGCTGTAGGAGCCACTGTGGCCTCCCAGCGGCACACCCCATTTCACGCTCCCTGGGCGGTGGCAGGGCCTCACGGCTATCAGCTTTCAGGGGTGGGAGGGACCAGGAATGAGGAGGGAATCTGCCCCACCCGTGGCTCCCTACTCCCTCGGGGCTTTGTGGGCTCAAGAGTTGGGTACCACACACCTGTGGCAATGCTCCCTGGGGAGGGGTGGTCAGTCCCACACTGTTCCCTGGGGAGCGGATGGTCAGTCCCACCATCCCTCCACGGGGTTCTCGGTGCCTGACTGGATGCCACACCTAAGCCCCTCATAGGCGGCCTGGTGGAAAGGGCCTCCCTGCTTCCCTCCCAACACAGCAGGGCCCTGTCTCCCTCGGTGTGGGCCCCGCATAGTCCATAAGGCAGATGGGGGGATTAGATCAGGCCCAGCCCAAACAATAAAGCAGGGAAGGGCCCCCCAGCTCCGTGCAGCACGCCACGGGCTTGCACTCCTCCACACAGCCTTCCTCAAGGAAGCAGATGGGGAGAACCAGGTGGGAGGAGGCTCCTGAAGACAGGGCCTCCTCCTGCTCCTCCCCTCCGGTGGTCTACTTTCCAGAGTGTTCTCTTTCCTTGTGCCCACCTCCCTCCCATCACAGGGCACCCAGACTCCAGAGCGGTGGACGAGGAGGAAGGCAGTGCCCTCTGAGTAGGCCCTTGCGTCCCCGGAGGGGAGAACCGGACGGAATCTCTAGAGGGCGATTAGAGCAGCGCTGGTCCCCGTGCCCATTCCCAGACTCCCAGTGGCCAGCATTTTTGCCTGCTGCCAGGAAATTGGTGAGGGGGAGGCGGGATGCAGGGGTGAGTCAGCAGTGACAGGAGCCCAGGGACAAAGGTCATGGGCGGAGAATTGTGAGACACTGTTTATGTAGCCTGCCTCCTCCAGGGGGTCTTCCAGTGCTAAGCCAGCCCTGTGGTCCAACCCATCTCTGACCCACCCTCTCCCCCCTCTCCTGTTTGCAAGGAACCTCTTCCTCGCGTGGACAGCTCGTGGGTCCCGCCTGCCTGCCTCTATAGCCTGTGAGCTCCTGGGGAACCCCGAGGGGCTGTGGTTTAACTGAGTCCCCACAATGCCCGTGACTATCAGCACTTCATACTTGTAAGAACCATTTTACATCCATTTTAGTTGAGTGAGTCTGCGGGAAAGTGCTTGGAACAGTATTTGGTGTTGGGTGTATTGTTGGTATTTTCTACGCACATGCGCACATCAGTGTGCTACAGACTTGGCAGGTTTTGCTGTGAAGAACTGGGGATCCACACACACTCTGGCCTGCTGCTCAGTATGGAGCCTTCCTAACTAGCAGGGCCGGCAGGCAGCAGGCTGTGGGACCCCGGGAGAGCCAACAAGGCAAATGCTTGCCTGGACTAAGGGTGGGCAGCATCTTTGGGCGCAGACTGTGAGAAAGGAGATTTCCAAATCCATGGGCTTCTCCAGCCAGCTCTCCTGGGGCCAGTGGGGGTGGGGTGGGAGCAGGGAAGAGGGCTGGATTAGCCCAAACTCTCTTCGGACCTCGTGCCCCACAACATTCTGTGTGCCAAGGAGGGTGGGGGTGGGGAGTGGAAGGCTACAGCTGGGCTCTGGGGAGTTACAAACCTGCCACGGGGATTAGTGAGGCTGAAAAGAACATTTGCCTAGGAAGGGAAAACGGGAAGTGAGAGGCTGAGGATAACGCTCTGTAAGTCCCCAGAGACTCACTGCAGGCCAGGGGGGAGGCGCAGGAGGAGGTGGTGCAGTCTGGGGCGTTTTGACAGGTCCCCCACTCCAGCCTCACCCCTTCTACGCTGGGACACAGCTGCTGCAGCTGCCCCGCCCCCTCTGCCTGTGATGTCTGCTATTGGCTGAAGCCGGGCCACGCCCCTACGAGGCAGCCTGCTATTGGCTTAGGTCTTTGATGTTTCCGTGCTTGTGGGCAAAGGGAGAGACGTCATTCTCTGGAAACTGCGGACTTCCTCTCTGCTTGTCTGGGTCATCCTGTCCGCCCGTTGCTGGTCCCAGGCTCGCTCTCTGGCCCCAGCCCTCTCTCACTCTCTCTCTCAGCAGCTGTCTCTCTCGTGACCACTGGCCTTCCTCCGCCTGCCTGGGTGGGCGCCATGGACCGGAAGCGGCTGATCACTGACTCCTACCCAGTAGTAAAGAGGCGGGAGAGCCCCACTGGACACAGCAAGGGGAAGCTGGCACCAGAGCTAGGTCTCTGAGGTGTGGGGAGGGCGGGAGGAGCGGACACCAAGGGACATGGGACATAGGTGGATGGGGGCAAGGCAAGGGGAAGTGAAGTATGTCCTCTACCTCCTACACCAGGCCTGGTAGCGGAAGACAGAGGCAGAGGGGCGGGGAGGGCTGAGGAGCCATGGGGCCACTGTGAGGCCAGGGGCAGGAGCCCACCCTGCAGGGCACAGTCCTGGGCAGGCCTGAGGGGCAGCTTGTCATTGCAGAGGAGGAGAGCCAGCCCCTGAGCGTCAATGAGGTGGAGCTGGAGTTGCTGAGGCAGTTTGACCTGGCCTGGCAGTACGGGCCCTGCACAGGTGAGAACGAGAACCCCTCAGGTCCCCGGGGCATGTGCTGGCACCAGTCCTGTCACCCACATGTCTCTGAAACAAGCCCAGCCCCTGCCCGGCCCTCTCAGGCACTGTCTTCTGAGCCGGGGGAGTGTCCGACACAGCCTCCACGCACACTCTGTGGCCTGGACTCTGCCCCGCCCACCCTGAGGCCCCACCGCCTTCTCCCCCCCTGGCAGGGATCACAAGGCTGCAGCGCTGGCACCGGGCAGAGCAGATGGGCTTGGAGCCTCCCCCAGAAGTGCGTCAGGTGCTGCAAACCCACCTCGGAGATCCCCGCTTCCAGTTCAGGTCAGAGACAGGCCAGGGAGGGCTTTCAGGGGAGCCAGAGCCTTCTCCAGGCACCGCAGTCTGCTGACCCTGGGGGTGGGGGCTGCTCTGACCTGAGGGGGAAATGGGTGCTGGCCTGGAGGTCCTGGCAGAGCAGGCGAGAAGGTTCTACAAGGTGTCTGGCTCAGGAGGGCCGAATTACTGTTGCTTTAGTAGTTCCTATCTCTGAGCTAATGGTGGGGGAAGGGTACACCAAGGCCCAGGGTACTATTTCATACTGAGGGGATGACCAATGACTATAGGCCACGGCCAGGAACTGGTGCTGCTGAAATCAGATCAAGGAACTTAACAACACTCTCCGGTCTCTTCTTCCCCCATCTCCTCTTGTACAGCCTCTGGCATCTCTACCCGCTTTGAGGTACCACCACCTGAGATCTCCTGCCTGCTCCCCAAGAACCTCAGGACACAAGTGAGAGCCCACTGCTGCCCCTCAGCTCGGCTCTGCTGTGGAGAACGCCTGGCAGGAAGGAGTCTTGCAGGGAAGGAAAGACGCTGAATCTGGAGGTCTCCCTGCTCAGCCCTCCATCTAACCAGCAGGCCCCCGGAGCCCCTCGGAGGGCCGAGGAGCCCTTCCTGCCTGGGTGGTGGTCTCTGAGGGCAAGGATCCGGCCGAGACGATTCCGATGCCTGCCGCACGCCTCCCTGACCCAAACACTGTGATCCTGGGGATGGGGTAACAATTTAGGCACAGCCTCAGCTGAGCAGACTCAGGCACATGCACTCCCTACCTAAGGCGAGGAATCAGGGCAGAACTGGTGGAGCTCACAGGGCAAGGGGTTCACTAGTGCTTATCAATAAATAACACAGCCCAGAAGCCTCAACTCCAGTCCTTTAATGTGTCCCTGCTTGGGTTGGCAGTATGCAGAAAGCTGGGAGGTGTGAGAGAGCCAGCAGCACGCTTTTTTACAATGTGCAAGTACCCCCTTCGCTGCCTAACCTTAGACCCGAGAGAAAGACATCTTAGAAGCCCAACGGAAAGTCCTCCAGAGCCCTTCGCAACCTCTGGCGCCCCCTGGTGGTGCACAGGGAAACTACTGTTGTCACCTACACGTAGCAGCCATCTCGCCTGCCCAGTGTTCTCCCCCTCACAAAAATAGGTCCTTTGTCAGAGGATCCATAGGTCCCATGGCCCATAAAGTCCAGACAGACTCACACATTCCCAGCAAGCACCTCTGCTTCCCACACGGGGGGTTCAAAGCAGGGCTGGGGGAGGGTTTTGACCCGCAGGACCTGCTCAGAGATGGCCAATGTCCGAGGGTCTTTGGTAGGGAACTGGATAGTGCTGGGGATGGAAGAGAACTGGCTGGAGCCAGAAGCAACATTTAGGGGACCCTGGGACAGTATGAGACGGAGAATGTAATCAGTACTCACATGATGTCACCTTCATTTGCTGTTCAGCCCTCCAGTCTGGGGCAGAGAGAGCAGCACGGTGAATTCCTTGCAAACAGGCCTAGAGAACGACCGAGTGGTCTTCCTAGGCCCCGTTTTGTTGAGCACTCATCATGCCTCAAAGACCTGAAATGTTTTATCTCTACACTCCCTTAAAAGCCTTCAAGGCACATTTTACAGGGAGGGACACGGAAGCCCAGGAAGGTCGTGCAAAGTTGCCTGGCAGCACTAGCAGGACGTGGCGGTGCAGAGAGGGGTCCATGCGCATAGGCTCTTCCCATCTATGCCACGTCCTGCCCATCCACTGAGAGCCTGGATGTGCCGGGCCGAGAGGTTCCCTTGGGTGTTACCAGTGGGGAGGAGGTGGGCAAAAACAAACACACACGCAGTATGCCGGGTGGTGGTCCACGGTCAGCGGGACTGGGGTGGGAGGCCAGACAGTGCCAGGGCGGCTGGTCAGGGAAGGCTCTCTGGCAGACGGCCCTGAAGCAGAGCTAACGGAAGTACGGGAGTGAGCCTTGCACCTGTGCGGTGCTCCAGACAGAAGGAACGACAAGTACACCCTCCCCGAGGCACAGTGTTTCCAGCTGGTCAGGGCAGAGGGAGCGAGGGGAGCGTGGTGGGAAATGAGGCCGCAGACGCGGCAGGTAGGTCCCACAGGGCCTTGCAGGCCAGGATAGGAATCTGGATTTTATTCTGAGTCAGAGGAAGGCATTGGTGGGTATGAAGCCAATAAATGACGTAATCAAACATGTTTTGAGAACATTATTCTGGCTGTTGGAGGAGAGATCCTGGGGTTGGAAGAAGAAGACCAAAACCACTCAGGAGGCTATTCCAGTTGGCCTCGGGAGAGGCGACGGTGATTTGGACCAGGGCAGGGAGGTGGTGGTGGTAAGAAGGGCCAGATTCCTGTATTTCGAAGGGATAACTGACAGACAGGACTTGCTAATTAGCTGGCTACGGGGCTTGAGAGAAAGCAGCCAAGGATAACGCCAAAGGTTTTGGCTTGAGCAACTGGAAGGACAGAGTTCCCATTACGAAGACGAGAAAGACTGTGGGAAGGGAAGGGCGGGGTGGGAATCGGGAGTCTGGATCTGACATCTGGGGCACATCCAAGCAGGGACGGGGCAGGCAGAGGACACGCAAGTCTGGGTTCTGGGGAGAGCTTTGGGTCTGAGGCACAAGTGTGGGCATCTTTCAAGTGACATTTAAAGCCACGAGTGTGAATGCGATGACCTGAGTGAGTACAGGCAGAGACAAGGAGTGGCCCAAAGACAGCCCTGGGACCTTCCATGCTCACAGGGGAGGGAGAAGAGGGCGTGCAGCAAGGGAAGCTGAGGAATCGCAAGACTGGGGGAAAATAAGGAGGAATGAGGGCCCGGGAGGCCTGGGCAGAAGGTGTTTTCAGGTCTCATGGTAAAAGCAGCCCGAGATCAGCACACCGCACTTGCAGTGCAGAGGTCGCTGGAGGTGAGCAAGTTCTGAAGGGCCGGGCGGGAGTGCGCCTGGGGCGGGCTCGCAGGGGACGGCCGGGTGCCAGCAGGGAGCACGCCGACTTTCAGGGCCTTTTGACTGTGAAGGGGGCAGAGAAACAGAGTGGTAACTAGAAGGGGATGTGGGACCAAAGGAGGGTTTTTAATTTACTGTTGTGTTTGATCTTTTGTTTTAGTAAGTACAGCGCAACTACATGGTAAATAGAGTGAGCCTACAGGGAGGGGAGCTGAGGGGGCAGTGACGTGAACGAGGTCTTTGTGGAGGCGAGGAGAGCCAGGAAGATTACCTTAGAGAGGAACATCCACTGTGACAGGAAGGGCAGCCAAGAATGCAGGACTAGGCACAGGACAGGGGTACAGTGGGAGGGGAACATTCGAGAATCAGACATTGCTGAGAGCCAGGTACGACTAGAACAGACCTGAGGTTTACTGAATGCCGCCCATGCCATCTGCTGCGCTGAACGCTGCCTGTGCTTTATCTAGCTGACTCCTCAGGACAATCTCATTAGGTAAGTATCACTCACGTTTCACCACGAGGAAACTGAGGCTGAGAGGAAAAGTGACTTGCTCGCCAGTAAAACCCAGGGCCCAATTCACACCCAGGCCTGTCTTCCCATTCTATTACCCCGCACCCGCACTCCCACCCACACCTGTGCTGCAGGTACTTAGGAAGGTGCTGGGGAGATCAGACCTACTCACGTAGAAAGGTGAAAAACAACGCAGTGTGAGTGCTACCTTGGGGCAGCCAGGAGCGGTGCAGACCCAAGTTCTCTCGAGAGCACCACCTGTTAAAGGGACCCCCGCAGCAGAGGCCTTGAGTGCGAGCACTGCCACCTCGGCCACACTGGCACCGCTTCCGCCCGACCTCGTCCGCACCCAGCTCCTTCCACTCAGCACGTCCCTGCTCGTCAGACCTGCTGGCGGCAGGATGAACGCAGACTACCCACTAGAGCTGGGGGGGTGGCCCAAGACACCTCCTCTCTGAATATTCTTAGTGGTTTTGTGTTTGATCTTAGAAACCTTCGGTTAATTTTGCATTCTACTCCATGATACACGTGGACATAAAAATGAATGAACTTACTTATCAAGTAAAACGAAGCCGCCACGAAGATTCGCCACGTGTGGCCTATGGCTGGCTTCACATACCCTGACATGTTCACCACCGCCCAGCCCAGGCTGAGCAATGTGGCAGAAAGCCCCCTCCAACTGTTTACCGGAAGGAACTGGGTGATAAGCGGCCCCTGAAGGGTGAGTAAGAGTTAGCCAGCAGAGAAGAGCATTCTAGACGGAGGGAGCAGGCTGAGCAAAGGCAGCTAGGGTGTGTGTGCCCCGGGGAGAGGTGTGCAGCCTGCGGCACAGGCTACACGAAAATCAGCACAATAAAAACTAGCATTTCAGTGCTTATGCATCCGGCACTGTTCTAAATGCCTTCAATCCTCACAGCAACCCTAGAAATGATTATAACATTTTTATACAGTGATTTTAAAGAAGAAATTCAGACACAGAGGGGTTGAGAACTTGCCCAGGGTTACGCAGCATTTAAGTGTCGAGAATAAGATGATCCCGGGGTCAGTCTCCAGAGCCCCACTCATGTCACGAGGCGTTACTGTTGTGTTTTATCAGTAAAACACAACAGTAACAGACGGTGAGACGGGCTGGGGTCAGACACGGGGTCTTGGGCCTGAGGAGTTTGGACTTATCTATGGTGATGAGAACTCTTGAAGGTTTTTGAGCAAGAGAGAGAGAAGATAAAAAAAAAATAATCATTCTAGAGAATGTTTCCGACCAGGTATGAGAGACTAAGGGGGAAGAAAGTGCAGGTAGGAAGACCAAGTGGGAAGCCATTAAGTATTCAAGACACGGGTCCGGGGTCCTGGACTAGCAGACAGAATGGAAAGGACAAAACGCTAAAGAGATGTGCAAAGAAAGTTGGCAAGACTTGCGTTTGGGAAAGGAAGAATGGGGAGGAGGCGTCGAACATGACTCAGGTTTTGAGCCTGGGTGGGTGAGAGAATCCTGATGCCATGGGCAGAGAAATGGAAACTGGGAGGCTCAATTTCAGGCATGTTTAGTTTGAGAGGCCGACAGGATACCCAGATGGAAACATCTACTTGGCCATGGAAATCTAGAGGTCAAGTCTAGCAGCGAGGTCAGGAGAGAATGGGGTGTCCAGGGGGTAAAGGGAAATCACCCGCTTAGAACTGACACTGGAGCCCATGAGCGTGGATGAGCTCTCCGAGAGAGGGGAGAGGGACAGGGAGAGGGTGCAAAGTCAGGACCAAAAACGGCCTTGGGTGGGAGACCTGCGGCTGAGAGGGGGGTTGTCAGAGCGGCAGGAGAGGCGAGGGACAGCGGTGTCCAGGAGGTTCCTGAGAACCTCACCAGTGCTAGTGGGTGGTGTGACGCTAGCGAGATGTCAAAAATATATATATCATTAGGAGGGGATGGAAACGCCACAGGATCGAGTTTCTGTCCCCTAATTCTGTCTCCATTTTGTAGTTCTCTCTGGCATCCCCAGCTGTCGTAGTAACTAACTACCAGGGCCACACCCATCAATGAGGGCCATACTGATTCATTCTTTATTGACTCAGGTGTGGCAACATTTACTCACCCTCAAACCCACACACACTCACTAGTAGTGTGAAGGCTTAGAGGAGCTAATTTACCAAGAAACTCAAGTAAACAAAGGAAGGGAACTCAGACTTCCTGAAGATGGCCCTTTAGCTGAGTGTTCAAAGACAAGCAGGGGTTTCCACAGGGTGGACAGGTGATGTTGGACCATGTGTTGAGTCCTGAGTCCTTCTTGAGTCCTCCTTTGGTCCTTTGTTTCTTGAAGGCAAAGACATTTCCTAGAAACCTCCTCTGGGGTGGATGCCTCCCTCACCTCACCTGGAGGTTCTGGTGGCTCCCAGTCCTGCAAGTCCCATCCTTG